TTTGGTCTTGTTGTCAGGGCGAAGTCGTCTGCTATAGTAGTTGTCATGATTCCCAGCATCAGACTGTGAACTTGGTACATTCTCAAACGTTTCGCCGGCATCGTAATCGGCATCATCAGTCAATTTTGCCATTCTCTACACCAAGCTACGAACTCGTCAAAGAGAAAAGTGAAGCCAAGAGTAGATAGATAGACCTGGACAGAAAGAAGAGTTATAGTGTAACCGTTTTCGGCAGAACGGTTGTCGAGGAATTGGCTTCACTTGTCTCTTCGACGAGTTCGTTGCTTGTTGCGTCGACTGTTGGATGCTGGGAATCATGACAACTACTATGACAGGCGACTTCGGACAAGGTGCGTTCTACTAAGTCGCCTTGACAACAGGACCAAGTTGCGACAACGAGGTCAACTCATTTCTAACAAATAAAACTTAAACGCAAAATAAACTCACAGAAATACTGAGAACAAATGAGTATATATATATATATATATGCAGAAATAAAAAGACAAATTGATAGATAGATTTAATTAATTTTTATAAAGGGAAGCTGGGTTTCAAAGAACCCCTCAATAGATTGATGCTGGCATGCATTTCATTTCGTTTGAGAAGGCAGTCGAAAAGATAGCGAAACAAGGTTGCTATGGTCTTGTGATTGTGGGATGGTAGCGCTCTGCTACCTCGATGGATCCGTCATGTGAGCATTATTTACGAACAATCACCAAAAAACATTAAGCCAAGAAAGCTGGCCGGCTGTGGTCCTACTTAATGAGGTTTTCTTTGATTTGGTTGGCTCACTTATGCTTGCCCAACCTGCATGTAAACGAGTGAAAGGGATGCAGGAAGGCAGCTGATGTGGCCGCAACTTTGCTTTATGTAAGTGAAATAGCGTGTGATCATGTAATCCTGAGGTTGGTTTTAGCCTCATGAATGAGTGTGTCTTGTGTCTATGCAATTCACACGGTCCCAATTTCCGTATCCGGCAGAGCGTCTTTATTTGGTGTCCTGTCGTAACCACATGTTGAGCCAACTCTGATTTATGAATCCATAAAACTTTGCAGGCGGTTTTGTGTGTGTTAACATAAACACTTCAACATGAGCACAAAATCTTATAACAACTTGATCTACAGAAAGCGTCTGAAAATTGTCTAAAAGGAGGCATAGCCGAGGAAAGCGCTAGTATTCCTTTATGCATCGTCTTGACGTTCCAATCGCTCAGTAATTTGCCGATGATGGTGAGCGGAGGTCTTGTTTGTAAAATGCCACAGCAACAAGCCCAAGGCAACCCTTCCTCGGTATCCGATGCGGCCAATTTGCGAATCCCTTCCACCCGCCTTCTCAAAACGAAATGAGAGATTTGCGAGCAATAGTAAGTTTTAGTTTTTTCTTATCTAATCACTTTTGAGTTATAGTCTTACCAGCTCGGATAAAATGATGCAAGACTGATTGTTGAATTGTACCAGAACCATATGATAAAGCCTTAAGTGTCATTTCATAGTGGGATTGTTGAATTTGTATTTTTCGTTGATAAGTAGGTTGACGAGACTGCCAATAGATCATACATATGAGATGTATTCACCCTATTTCGTTTAAGATGACAAGAGGACTATTAGTTGTATTTGCCCACAATGGTATGAGTAGACCCTACTTTTCCATATAGTTTAACATAGCCTTGCTTTCCCTAAAGGTACTAGCATCCAGTAGTCTCATCATCTTTATATACATGAAATGTATACACCCTATTTCGTTGTGTTGAGGTATTTTTATATTACATTTGACTACGTTGCTTATATTCAAGAATGTATCCTTTC